AGTCTGAGTCTGTTCCTCCCCATCCAGACCCTTACGGCCTCCAGGCAACGGGCCATCACGTCAAGGGCATCGTTGGGGTGGCCTGGGGTGGAAATGTACAGCTGCGTGTCATCAGCGTACTGATGGAAGTCCACCCCAAAGCCACGAATGATCTCCCCCAGCAGCTTCACATAAATATTGAACAGAAGAGGAGAGAGGAATATATATATATATTTGTTTTCCTGGGCTGTTTCACATTGCTCTTGAGTTTTATATAGATGGTTGGGGACTTGCTTTCTGGTACTTGAAATCCTGCAAAGCTGAACCTCCAACCATATATTTTTTTTAAAGTCAACCGCTTTGTTGTATGACAACCTAGCATCAATATTTATGTATAATGTTGCACAGGTTTTGCTGCTAAATTTTCTAATGTCTATTTTGTTCTGCTAGATTTCCTTTCTTTAAAAATATATTTTATTGATTTTTTTACAATAACAATGCTTAGTAAACGACGTTTTGTCTGGGTTCATATATTTAACAACAATCAATAATAATTCATTTCTACGATTTCATAATCAGCACATTAACTAGAAATACCTTTCCTTGATGCTAGATTTCCTAATGCTTGTTTTTTTTTAAAAAAATTAAGATGGTTACTGGTTATTTTATTCACCGTGCCTAACGCTGCTAGATATTGGAAGCTGGTACGGCAAAACTGTAATTCCACATTGTACTTCGGAAACAAAGGGGGGAATGTTTATACACACAACCCAATTCCCCATTCCAGAGAGACAAATCAAGTGTTATTATTGAGTGTAAGACTAAAATCTAAGAAATAAAGAAGACAGGGGGGGAAATAAACAGCGCCACTTCTTTTAAAAAAGTTGACTTTTCCTTGGAAAGACAATTCGGTGTCTGAATGCACCTTCGTGTCTGGAATAATTGGTATGTTGGGAAGAAAAATGGACTCATTGACTTAAATGAGTGCTCTCTAAATTAGCTTTATTGCCAAAAGTTCAATGAGCCAACAGATCTGTCTTCTTCTTTCTTCTGCAGGACCTGGGGATAACGAAAGTGGGTCATATGAAGCGAATTCTTCAGGGAATTAAAGAATTCAGCCGGAGTCCACCGTTAGCGGAACTGTAACCGTGCCAGCTCCCTCCGTCGAGGAAGCACCACTTACGCAAAGGTGTAGAAGGTTGCGGGTTCCTCCCCGGCCGAGTAAAGGCCAGGTTGCGAGAAGAGCATTCCTCTGATCGGGGCGAGGTTTGACGAACGAGCGGGATACGGGTCCCCGAAAGATTTTGTGCGTCTAAAAAAAGAATTTTATTGTGAGAAGTAATCAAAATGTCTCCATTACGGTAAAAACGTTTCCTGGGTAGCATTTGCGTCACGTGGACCCTGGTCATCCACATGGTTCCTTTCCGATCCAGGTCCCTTTCAACGCAATTATTTTACAAAATGAGATTGCTCTCTTTGACACATCCTTGAAGCCAGCGGTGGGATTCAAATACGGGAACAACCGGTTCTCTGCATGGATGCCACTTCCGGAAGTCCATTCTGGGCCTGCTGGGCATCCAAAAATTGGCTACCGGTTCTGCCGAAGCGGTGCGAACCGGCTGAATCCCACCCCTGCTTACAGCCTAACTTTATCTGGAGCCTCTGGTGTCTCAGACTTGGTCCCATCCGGGTGTTTCGGTGACGCTGGTACCTCAAACTATAACTCTCTCGGGTTTTTCTCCCCCCCCCCTTTCATTGGCCGAAAATAATGTCGGAATGCCGTGAATGGAGACGCTAAACTCCTGGCTTTTTTTGGCCCAAACCGCCTGCCTGTTTACATGATACTTCTTACACTTGAAAAACTTTTATATCTGTTTTAATAAGGTTTAATTTATTACTGTTTGGGGCTAGGGATTTTTTTCCCCTCTTTTTCCTGATGTGATGTAAAGATGCTGCGTGTGGGCGGACCAAGCTGCCCTATTCTAGCTGTGAAAAATGTCTTATATATACTCCGGCTTCAGGTCATTTCAGAGTATTGCGAAAATGCTAGAACAGGGCAGATTTGGGATTTGGTCCCCGAAGGAGAAAGATTTGAACGTTTTCCTTAACGAACTGATAAAATATGCAATGCTTACTCTCTTCCTTAAAGCCGCTCCGAGTTTACCTCGAATATCAGAGCTTCAAAAATGTGGCGGTCGACTCAAAAGTGCATCAGATTTGGTGAACGTCGGGACTCGGTTATGCAACTCGAACGAAATCTCGGAAAATTATAGAGCCCTGTCTTTTAAGTATGCATTTCCTCCCCCTCCCTTGTCAGAAAGATTGCTATCCAATCATTTATCAATATGGATTGGAAAATTTAGTGGATCGGGCCAGAAAAAGAAATTCCTTTTCTGAAAATTCCTTTTCAGAAATTCCTTTTCTGAAACCTCGGGATTCTAGATGTTACTGAACCCAGGAAGATCAACAGAGGAATTCAAAAAAAAGTTGAGATGGTATCTTGATGGTGTTGGCTATTATGGACTCACCTCCCACTCTGGTTGAACTACAGCTCCCAGCATCCCCCATGCTTGTCTACGGAGATTCTTAACCATGCAGGTCATGGTTTTTCCAAAGGTGCTTTTTCCAAAGGACTTTCTTGCGTGTTTTTCGTTTCTCATCCTAGAAACTTCTTCAGTTCACAATGAAGAGACCTGAAGAACTGAACCGAACAGAAGCGAAGAAGCTTCTTGGATGAGAAGTGAAACATTTTCAAAGGAAAAAGAAACCAACAAACCAAGAACGTCCAGTTGCCTTTTGGGAAAAGCATCTTTGTGATCTCCGGCTGTTGATATTGTGAGCTCTTAAATTCCTTCTACCATCTTTTAAACCATGAAAAGCGAACCAGTATGCAGGCTGGCTGAGGAATTCTGGGAGCTGAAGTCCACAAGTCATAAAAGGGCCATGTTTGAAGACCCCTGTCTTAAATCTAACAAACAAAATGGAGGCTGGCTGAGGCATTCTGGGAGCTGAAGTCCACAAGTCATCAAAGGGCCAAGTCTGAAGACCCCTGTCTTAAATCTAACAAACAAAATGGAGTCTGGCTGAGGAATTCTGGGAGCTGAAGTCCACAAGTCATAAAAGGGCCAAGTTTGAAGACCCCTGTCTTAAATCTAACAAACAAAATGGAGGCTGGCTGAGGCATTCTGGGAGTTGAAGTCCACAAGTCATAAAAGGGCCAGGTTTGAAGACCCCTGTCTTAAATCTAACAAACAAAATGGAGGCTGGCTGAGGAATTCTGGGAGCTGAAGTCCACAAGTCATAAAAGGGCCAAGTTTGAAGACCCCTGTCTTAAATCTAACAAACAAAATGGAGGCTGGCTGAGGCATTCTGAAAGTTGAAGTCCAGAAGTCATAAAAGGGCCACGTTTGAAGACCCCTGTCTTAAATCTAACCAACAAAATGGAGGCTGGCTGAGGAATTCTGGGAGCTGAAGTCCACAAGTCATAAAAGGGCCAAGTTTGAAGACCCCTGCTCTAGATCAATCGTTTGTTTCCAGTTTGGGTTCCTTTAAGAACCCAACGTCCTGCTTCACACATTAAACTTAAGCTTTTGTCCTCTTGCCGAGTGTCAATTATAGGTAGTCCTCAGCTTACAACAGTTCATTTAGTGACCGTTTGAAGTTACAGCGGAACTGGTTGTTAAGTGACTCTGGCTTCCCCATTGACTTTGCTTGTCAGAAGTTCGCAAAAGGGGATCACGTGACACCAGGACATTGCAGCCGTCAGAAATATGAACCAGTGGCCAAGCCTCTGAATTTTGACCATGCTGCAACAGTCGTAAGTGTGAAAAACGGCCATAAGTCCCTTTTTTCAATGCTGTTGTAACTTTGAACAGTCACTAAACAAACAGATGTAAGTCGAGGTGCATATGCTATAAGTTATTAAAAGTCACAGAGATTGACAGTAGACTAGCCTTACCAAGCTTAACTGCCACTAAAGAGAGCAACATCTACTCAAGCAGGCGAATACGATCAATATTAAATGTTTATTTAGATTCAAGATGGCTTTGTGTTTATGTGCAAACCCTTGGAATTGTGTGCAAGGCAAAGAAAGTGCAAGGAAGAGCGACTAAGATGATTAAGAGCCTAGAGATTAAAAAACATATGAAGAACGGTTACAGGATTTGGCTATGGCTAGTTTAGAGAAAAGAAGGACTAGGGGGGGGGCATGATAGGAGTATCCCAGTATTTGAGGGGCTGCCATTTTTCCCAAAGTCTCAACATCTTTTTTTGCAATCCAGTTTTGCTCACCACATTAGAAGAAAAAAGATGTTGAGACTTTGGAAAAAGTGCAAAGAAGAGTAACTAAGATGATCCAAGGCATGGAGACTAAAACATACGAAGAACGGTTGCAGGACTTGGGTTTGGCTAGTCTAAAGAAAAGAAGAAATAGGGGAGATATGATAGCAGTGTTCCAATATCTCAGGGGCTGCCCCAAAGAAGAGGGAGTCAAGCTATTCTCCAAAGCACCTGAAGGCAGGACAAGAAGCAACGGATGGAAACTCATCAAGGAGAGAAGCAACTTAGAACTAAGGAGAAACTTCCTGACAGTTAGAACAATTAACCAGTGGAACAACCTGCCTCCAGAAGCGGTGAATGCTCCAACACTGGAAGTTTTTAAGAAGAGACTGGACAACCACTTGTCCGAAATAGTCTAGGGTCTCCTGCTTGAGCAGGGGGCTGGACTAGATGACCTCCAAGGTCCCTTCCAACTCTATTCTGATTGATTGGTTTGAAAAGCAAAATGCTTGTAAACTGACCTCACTTACTGAAACCGTCATGGATAGTCCATTATTTTCTCAGCAGTTGCATTGACATTTTCCCCAGATTGCATTGTTACTACACTCATTTTGATATTTTGCCATACCTATCGCATTCTTGGCTCACAAAGTTGCAAATGCTGCCTTCCTTGGTGCAATAATCCTTTTTCTCTCTCTCTCTTTTTTAAAGTATCTTGGTGGGTATATATATATAAAAAAGGAAATAACAGAAAGCTGCCATGCACAGAAAAGAAGGCTAGAATTATTTTTAATTTAGCCAGGATTACACGCTCTGTGGGTTTTTTCTCCCCTTTCAGAATATTAATATGCTGTTCTAGGGAAGTGAACGGGACTGAATGCAGAAAATTAGATATATATATATATTTTAAGAAAAAAAAAATCACCCGTTTTCTACTCTTGGAAGTAGAATTTCCCTGCTGCTTCCTTGTGATTTCATTAGGCAGCGTTCTACATTTGCACAAAAAGATTAGTGTTCATTCTACTCTTTCTTTTTTTCAGTCCCGAAAAATAGAAACGAAGCCCTTTTAGGAAAACGGTATTAAGTCAGCATAGATATTGTGTGTGTGTGGGGGGGGGTGTTCCACCCCCCAATCCATAATTCATGGTTATTTGATTAATATAGTCCTAACTTTCTCTGCTGAAGGTAGCAGGTCACAAAAGGGGATCACGTGACCCCAGGACACTGCAACCGTCATAAATATGAGTCAGTGACCAAAAGTCTGAATTTTTGATCCCGTGACTGTGGGGGCCTGCTGCAAAGGTTGTAAATGTGAAAAATGGCCACAAGTCCCTTTTTTCAGTGCTGTTGTAACTTCAAACGGTCGCTAAATGAATTGCTGTAAGCCGAGGACTATCTGGGTCTGGAAATATTAGTTTAATATTTAAGGTGACGCTTCAGTATTGAGCACTAGAAAACCAAGTGAGAAAATGCCAAGTTTTTTTCCAAATAATGGGTTGACCGCAAGAATTTGAACAAGCATGTTGTAAGAGTTGCTGTGTTAGTCAAGGAGCGACTTGCTCTTGGTTTCAATTCTTGGGGGTTTATGCTTGCACTAGTAAGATTTGGCAGGTTTCATATTTATTGTAATTTTACATCACCAAAACGTGTTGGGATAAAGTTTAGGCTTTAAGGTCACAAGCGACCGCCCCCTTGACACAACCTCAAATATTAGAGAATTATGCTCTGATTTGTAATTTTGGCTTCCGTTTAACAGCCACTTACACATGTCGAATCCCACATAACTGAGAGGAAGAGGATGAATCCCTGGCCAGGTCAAGCACCTGCAATGTGCTTGTTCTAGGGCAGGGGTCTTCCAACTTGGCCCTTTTATGACTTG